ACTCATTACTGCTGCAGCAGAAGGATCGCTACAGTGACATCCTCATCAACCTCGACGAGGACACTGTGAACATCACGTCCGCCTCTCTTCGCAATGCACTTACGCTTACTGCTGCGGATCGCCGTTGGATCGACGGCATCTACCACGAAGTCAGTGAGACCTGGGACGAGGCAAACCCCAGCCGACCCAAGACGCTCCAGTATCTCGGCTCGGAAGAGTACATCCGCGCGCAATTCGAGGCATATATCCTAGGTCTGGTCTCATCAGTCAAGTATCACCAGTTCATTGTCGAGAACCCGGACACGGGTTCCACCACAGAGGCCGACCCGGCTGTCGACTACGGCCTCGACTGGGTAGAAGCCTGGTCCGGCACGGAGAACTACCGCATGTGGAACCAGTACACGGACGCCAATCTGTTCGCCGTCTCCGAGCCCAAACATCCCTGCGCCGGGGGTCTCACCATGGATGACGTCCAGCGCAGGATAGCGGATCAAGTCAAGGATCTCCACCTGGATGAGCGCTTCGCCCAGGGGCGCGAGGTCCTGGGTCGCAATTTCGCCGTCGGCAGGGAGAAGGCCACGAGCATGTTCAACCGCATCTACTCGGACATGGAATACCTCCGTGAGTCGCAACGACGCCGTGCCGAGGACGCCGCGCGAGCGCAAGACGCCGGTGCCGAGCAGCAGCCATCATCCCCAGCGTCGACCGCGCCCTCATCGGCATCGGTCGTGCCCCCGGTGGACCTCAATAAGGCACAGCAGTCGGTGCAAACAGCCGGCGCACGTGCGAGCGCATACATGTCGAGCTGGGCTTCGTGGGCGGGCGAGAAGCGAAAGACGGGCGGCTGGGGTGCTGGCTGGGGACGCAAAGCCTCGGCCACGCCGACGAATTCGACACCGACCAGTCCCATGGAGAAGGCATCAGTGGAATTCCAGCCCATGGGTTCCAGCATGAAGAGTGAGGATCCTGCAGGACATAGACAGCAGCCGAGCTTTAGCGAAAGCATCTTGTCGGGCGCCAGTTCGTCAGCTGGAAGACCCGGGACGGGCCAAGAGGAAGCGGACCTGGACATGGGCCGGAAAGCGACTACGAAAGAAGCGCAGGGGGGAGATCAAGGTCCCAAGAATACCTGATGCTCCCTTGGATAGGGCATTCTGCATTGTATAGCACCTTGTTTAACAAACGAATCATGACGGCCGCACACTAATAATACGAAAGAAGGCAACATTTTTTTTGAAAGCGCATTCTTTTTTCCATTCGAAAGCTTGCAAGCTGCTCCACGAGGTCAATAGTCCACTCGAGTTGGACCGTGAGAGAAATCCGATTCCATTGGACCATGCTCTCGTGAACATATCCGCCATCCGCCCGGGTCTCTTATGCTATTGATTGTGTATCGCCATGACTGTCGCCGACCCTTTCGACGTGACCATGCCTCTTCCGCACTGCGCAGGGTATGGACATATCTCCCTGCCAGGTGAGTGTACCATCTGTGGAAAAGGCCGTCCTGGTTGATGCTTGGTAAAAGAATGCACTCTTATATACCATAATTGATATCTCGCAACGAGCCTGCCGTCTGTCGCTCACGCCAAGTACCCAAGCTCGTCGTCCTCTAGACGCTCCAGATATTCCTTGTCGAGAAGGATCTCGATGCACTTTTTGATATCGGATACCTGTGGTACAAAGCGGGACTTGATCTGGTTGATGCACTCGCTGACGAGCTGCATGTGCTTCATCTTCTTTCGTGCCTTCATGATACGCACGATTGCGGACTGTGAATAGTTAGTCTCAGAAATCAATGTTTGCGCATCAGATTGGCTTACCTGTAGTACCAACTTGCGGTCTTCCTCAATGGTCTTGTTGGTCTCAATCTCTTCTTGCTTGGCCTCCTTGACACCGCCACCCAGATTCAGGTTCACACGGATCTTTTTGTTCTTGAAGTCATAGTTCAGTTTGAACACCTTGCCTGGCCCGGGCTTCTCGCCAGGTCCGCCTTGCATGATGAGCACCTTTGCCTTCAGAATGTACACCAATGTCTGGTTGATAACATCGGGGGACAACTGGGTAGCGCTCACGAATTCCTCGTATGAGTTCTCGTCCTTCTCGTTGAAGAGAAGCAAGATGGCCATCTGGTACAGGGACACTTGAAAAGTGTAGCCCGTTTTGCTGTTTTTGAAGTAGCTGGCCTTCAGCTCGCCCTTGCAAAGATTCCACAACCACGTCAGCTTGCGACCGTCGTGCTTGTGCTTGTAAAAGGTGCTGAAACGTTCAGCTTCGGACGCAATCTCTGATGGCGGGTTGAATGCTGTCGTCGGTGCCTGCAGAGGCCAAAAGCCGGTGCCGAGGATCGAAAAGTTCGAGTCGACCGTCTTTGTTCTCTCGCCATTGTCCAGATGGTCCTTGAAGTCGCGATTGAGGTCTTTGCTGGTTTGCATATCCTGGAACATGCGCTGAAGCTTGTTTGTGTACTCAAAGCCACACGCCTCCTTCAACTTCCCAATCATGCTCATCTCGGCGTCATCCGAAGACGAGTTGGCGTGCACCAAACGCCGCGCCAGCAGACGAGAGTAGATCTTCTGGAACACGTCCTTATCCTCAATGTACTTGAAGACAGTCATAATGTTGGTCAGCGTCGCCTCCAAATCCGCCTCCTCGATGCTGGTGCTGCTCTTTCGAAGCAGCACGTCGGCATACTTGGCGAGAAGATCAGGCGACTTGTTGGATGACGCCTTGCAGACTTCGTTGCGATTGACAAACTCCTTACATGCGCTATCGAGCGAACGAGTAAATTCGGGTTCGTCGTTGAATGCGCGCTTGACGAGCCCTTGGTATTGTGTGTGGACCTCCAGCAGGGCATCGACATAGACCTTGGGTTCCAACTTGTCTCCCTCGGCTGCTTGTATCTTGTGCACAGCGTTGAGGCCCGCTTTGCGGACGTGCGTCTCGAACCGGGACCTTAGAGGGTCCAGGCCATCGGGGATTCGGGCAAGTAGATTATACATGCGTGCCATGTCGTCCTCCCGCTCATTGTCCAGAAGCATCTGGAACTCGTCTCTCATAAGGACTTGATGATCGGCAATGAGAGCTTGGTTGCACGTCTTCTTCAAGTGGACGGCAATGTCCTGGTGCAGGTACATGCCAACCCTGTCCTCCTCCTCGGCAAGTCGAGCCTCAGCCTTCTTCAGGTACTCCACCACGCTGTTTTCGGCAACGAACTGTTTCGACTCGGCCTGGTAGAAGGCCTTAGTGGCTTCGAGGAAGGGCTTCTCAAAGTGGAATCGGTACACGTCGAGTGTTGATTTCGAGGGATCGGTCTCGTCGAGACCTAGTGAAACAAACGAGTCCACAACCTGCTTGATCTGGCTGTGCTCAATGGTCTCCCCGTGGCGCTGTTTCTCCACGAGCTTCAAGACGGCGTCCATGACCTTGTTCGACAGGCGCTCGAATAGCACCTTGCGCCACTGCACCAGGTGCAGAGTGTACACATCGTAAATATGCTTCTTCCCCTCGTCGATCTCTCGCTTTACCCAGTGGCGGTTGAGGTACCGAAACAAGTGGTGTGTGTATTTCGCTGCGGTCGTGTACCGGGACCATTCTTTGATGTAGAAGGAGAGGAGCGCCTCGTCGGTATGGGATTTGCTGGTTTCCAGCAACGATGTGAGATGCTCATCGAGGTAGTGGATTAGTTTTCTATATAGCTCCTCGCCAAGAAGATGGGCTGCTTCAGTGTAAGTCTCCGTACTGAGAGGGGAAGGTGATCGCGCAGACTTACCGCCTCGATGCGCACCCCCATGCATGGAGGGACCACTCAGGCTGACAGCTTTTTGCGAAGTGCAAAAGTTATGAATGGCCCTATGAGCCCGGTTAGCACGCAACACGAGAGAGGCTGTGGTTTGCAGGGTAACGCACGTGTAGACCCCCATGTACATCTGCATATCGATACCTTGCTCCAGGTCCATCATAATTCGAGTGATACCGGCCTGCAAGTATCCCCATCTAATATGGTCAGCGTCAAAGTCCCGAGCACAGCCCAGCGTAGGTAGACTAGGCCTGAGCGTAAGACTCACGTGGATCCGATGTCTTCCCTATTCGGCATCGGAGGCATCTGCGAAGGCGCGGCGCGCGCCGGAGCTACCCTTGAGGCCATACCGACTAGTCTCAATGTGCTGATGACTGCAGAACCGTAGGAGCTCGAGCGAAGCGGCAAGCGGCGGTGCGGTCGGGACTCGCCCAGCGATGCGCGTCGTCAAGGGGTCTCGTCGGCAGCGTTTATGGGTTCCCTTTTGTTTCGAAATCGCCTCTTGCTTCGGTTGCCAAGTGGCACGGACCTAGGCAGAGATAAGGCGCTGTACGAGTCTGGCGAAAGTCGACCGCGTGTTCAGGCGTGCTGAGAGCAGCCTCGTTGTCAGGACCAAGGAGGTTGTCGTATGATGCTTCAGATAGCGCCGGAGTAAGAAGAACGGAGGTGGAGGGAGGGGCGAGGGATCGGATGGTGGCCTGTCTTTGAGGAGAAAGAGTGACCGGGGAGGCCAAATAGGCCGGGTTGAAAGATCGAGGAAAAGAGCAAATCGAATCTGCTTGACTGGTACACTTGCGTGCGCGGGTTGAAAGGATAATTTGGGAGGAGGAAGTCAAGTGAGGTCAGTCGCGTGAAAGAGTCAACTCCGACTCTCTAATCCCACTTGCCTTACCCGTAAGCCCAGCTGGGTCCTGGGCTAGTGACGGCAGGCAGCCTTGCACGCCGCAGGGGTGGCCTTTGAGCCCAGGGAGGGCGAGCCACTGTGGCGCAGCACCTCACTGGTACGGGTGATAATAAGTCAAACACTTTTTCACGTCACTCCATGTCCAGTCACTGACTGACTGGAGGTGCTCATGCCGTACTCACTCGACAAAGTCGCTAGCGCTGGTGGGTAGAATCTAGCCGCCTATGGCTTAGCGCTGTGGATATATGCTTATGCGAAAGTACGAATCTCTCAATAACTCTGTATAATCTTTAGGCATTACCGTATAACGCTCATGCTGTAATTGCTACTCGATATTGTCACCTCTCCTGACAGGGATATTGCTCGCTAGGACAGACCAGCGCTAGCGACTTTGTCGAGTGAGTACGGTAGTCTGACATACCGACGCCACTCGATGCCTCTGGTGCGATCAACAAAGAAACATAATAGGGCTGGACACTGGCGAAGCGGCTAGTTCCAATGATTGAGATTTGCTTAATCACCTATACACGCCCGCTAATAACAAGCCTGACGGCTCTGTTTTCCCCATGCGTCCTTCCATCAGAGCCCAACTCGGAAATGATTAATAGGAAACGCCTCTTGATGAGTCCCTTATACCCCCAACGCCGCGCGTAGTATACCATGCAGACAAAATGAAATCTCTGTGAATGACCGTGAGTGCTCACATCACCTTGTCCAACAGCCATGTCCTTCTTCGACTTTCCAAGGGCGGTGTCCGCCGAAACCTACTACGTGACGAGCGTTCGCCTACGCATGTGCTCCTATGACCTGCGATGGTGCTCGTCCTCTCCGCCACCGAGTCTCTCCACGATGCGGAAGATGTTGATGGTAAAATTGATCGTCCACGCGGCAAGCGCGAGCAGCATAAAGGCGGCCAGTGCCTTGGCCAGTTTTCTGATCTCTGGATCGGCCACGTTATGGTACACCAGGCTCTCAAACGCCAGCGCCGTGCTTGCTGATTTAAAAATGATGAACACCAGATCTAGCATGATGAGTGACACCTTGTTTCTGGCCGACCGCAGTCCCAGCGGCTGCCCTGTGTATTCGTCGTAGATCATGTAGCCGATGTAGGGGATGGCGACGCAGTCCACGACAATGGCGACAATGGACTGCGTCCGCTCCGCGCTATAAGGGCGGAAGTTATCCTCCAGCACGAAGATCCTGCTGGCCACGCCTAGCGCGACGATGGAGGTGACCATGACGGTCAATCGACATATCGCCGGTGATAGAGAATGACGCATCACTAGGTTCCACACGCGCTGGTTGAAAGCAACCGTCCGCGTTCTTTTCGACCTGCGCCCGGCGGCCAGTGCATTGTATGCGCCTCTTGCAGGGAGGTTGAACGTCGGCTGCAGCTTTTCCAGGTAGTCCGGGTCGACCCTTTCGGACACCTCGCCGGCCATGGGCCCGTATGCTGAAGAGTGCACAAACTGTCGAAAGCCAGGATCCGTAGACGTGACAGAGGTGCTGTGGTAGCGCGGCACGACGACGGGCTCAGCTGACCGCAAATGGTCCCATTTCCGCCCTCGCATCGAAGCTCGACCATATCGAAGGAAGTGTGGGATCTTGTGGCGCGCATCCTGCGCCGGACCGAGTTTCGGGTCATCGTAGTCTATGTAGCCGTCTTTTGATACCCGTCGCTGCGTCTCGTCGGGCGCTGCGTTGTGTCGAGCCGGTATTGCATTCGGTGGGCGCAACAGATTGAACTGATCCTGCGTGCCTGGTCCATAGCGTTCCTCGTAAGAATCGATCCAAGCTATATCTTGTCAGCCGCTTGCTCACTACCGTCAGCCGGGTACAACACACGTGGCAATGTTCGCGGCTTTCGAAGTCGAGGCGAACTAAAGTCTGCCACCATGATGCTGCGCGTATCGGTCGACTCGAGCGCGTCGGAAGAGTGGGAGGATTCCCCGGCTCGAGGGGACAGAGGCGAGGACGCCATCCTGTCTCAAAGGAGGAATGCGAAAGGCAGAGCGGCCAAGGCGAGTGTTCGGAATACCGAGGAAGTCTCGGTGTCTAGTCACACAAGCCGGGTGACGCACATTTGCTGAGATTCTCGTCCTATCTCGATAAAGGTCGCATGCTGACTGTTTCGAGAATGTCGCTGATGCAGTCAGGAAAGCTGGATCGCAACCTGAGCTCAGGTCAAGGAGCAGTGACAGTAAGGGCGTTTGCACTCAGGACTGTAAGGATACCCGGCGCATTTGGCAAGCTGTGTACTGCGCACGATAACAAGTATTAATGACTGAAGCAGGTTCCAGTCTAGAAAAGAATACGCAGACTGGACGCGAGGTCGGACTGTGGGATCAATGAACCGACTGGACGTTGCAGGTGGAAACTGGGAACTGCGCGCGCCTTCAGCAAGGTACCCACTTCAGCCGCCCGGGGGGAGATCATGGGCCTGGGCAACGCCCTGTGACGTGCAAGACCCGCCTGCGAGATCCCGGAACCGGATTCGACATCACATGAAGTCTTGAGCGCCTGAACTTGACATTGTGACGCCTCTGGATGCGTTCTCTATTGTCGCAAAGCTCTTACATTGCAGCGACTAATAATACAACAAAAAATCGATCTTGGGGGTATCTGTGTAGGTAGCAACATAAAGCACCATCTTCCGAGTTCAGTCCCCTCCAGAATGTGAACCGCCGCATATGGCCCATGTCCGATCTAACAGAACAAAAGAAAGAGATGGCAGATACTGCACAGCAATCATATCAATACCACTGCCATCATACATCTCGCCGCTCCCTCTTCAACGCCCACCCAATCACGCATCAGTCACGAGCTGCTCTCCCTCGTCAAGCAGCTCTGTGACCTTGCGCAGGTTGCCTATCAGGCTGGTGCCCAACCCGACCAGCAACAGCTTCTCTGCATTGGCAGGCAGGCCCAGGTATGTTGGAGGCTCGCGCTCGGGTAGCTTCTGAACCCACTGCATGAAGTCTTGGAGGTTCGTGCCCGATGGCACCAAGAGACCTCCTTCGGGGCTATCCACGAGCTTGTGATCGACGTCGTAAGCTTCAGGTGTCAGGAATTGGACGACGAGCTGATTGAGTAGCTTGAAGTCATGCTCATCGTCAATCTTGCCACCGTACGTCTCTGTCACTAGATAGCGGATCATCTCCCAGGGAATGTTCTGAGGAGCAATGTTGCTCCTGTTGCCAGCCACGCTGTCCAGCCAGACATCAACGATGAATGCCGAGCACTCGTACTGGGGGTGCGTTAGCGATCTACTGTCAAACACTTGAGGAAGGAAAAGAAACTTACGTCACTGTCGTTGAACTCCCAGAACCCCTTCCAACCAAGGTTCGGCGCGTATCGCAGCCTCTCCTGGACAACAGCATGCAGGAAGGAGATGAGCAGGTACAACCTCGTTCTTTCGACAGGGCTCTTCGAGCTGCGCGTCGAGAGGGACGACAAGGAGTCCTTCATATTGGCTCTGACACCAGCCGGCTGCTCATACATGAGGATTCGCGAGGCACGCAGCAGGTTGACTGGGATCTTGAGACTAGACTCCATAGACAGGAAGAGCCTAAAGTCAGAGTGCGGGTTCAGAGCCTCCATGCGCTTCTCCAAGCTTTGCAGCCAAGTAGGGGCAAGGTGCACATTCTTGACCAGAACCCATGAGCCGTTCTGAGCAGCATTTGTAATGGCCTTGTCTGCACTCGTGACACCTTCGTTGGAGCCCATGGCAATGTTCGTACAACTGATGCGCATCTTCTCCACCAGACTGTCGACCTTGTAGCTTGCATCGAAACCGGGGCTTGACACGAGCGAGATTGGCAGAGTCGCCGAGACCTCACACACGGTGTGCTTGAGATCCTCCACGAGGTCAAAGATGTCGGCGCCAAAGACCCGGGCGACGAATCGCTCGGCCGCAGGAACGAACCGATCCATTCGGAACAACTTGACGAGGAGCAGTGAAATCAGGGCCTGGTCTGCCTCCTCGGTTTTAGGGTCCCAGATCTCGGGAACAAAGTTCTCGGCAAGCTCTTCTTCAAAGAACTGCGTCCATTTGTCGGCAGCTACGCTGTCAAGCCGTTCCTTGAGGGCGGGCAGCTTCGTAGCAGCGGCGAAAGCTTGATCTTTGAGCTCAGGATCAGTGGAGAGATCCTTGCCCTCCACGCGGTTGTCGAGAATGGTGTCAATCAGTGTCTTATCCATCTTGTACGGCGAGGCTTGGGCAAGAAGCATGCCGAGAGTGACGCGGTCCTTTTGCAGCAAGCTGAGGGCTGTCCTCTTGAAGGTCTTGACGAAGAGATCCTTGACAATGACGTCTCTGCGCCGGTTGTGGTCTGTCTCGGCGTCAAGATTCTTGTTGTTGTGCAGTACCGACTGGAAAATATCGATAAAGTACTGCAACGAGAACTGGTAGAAGTGGTTGAGGAAGTGCAACTGCTCGAGAACGGCAAACACAGCACTGCACGACTTGGCAATGACGCTGTATTGCTGCGTGATCTCGTCGACCTCGCCCATGACACCCTCCGTCTTGCTCATCTTGTCTGAGATCTCAGCCGCTTCGTTCTTGAGCTTCTCAAGCGTTTCGATAACGTTGTCATCGTCGAGAATGTTGCCCTGAGACTCGTTGAGAGCTTGAAGAAGACGCTTCTCAAGCTGTCGGAGATGGACCTTGAACTCGCCCTGCACTTTGATCAGGTCAGAGCGACGCTTGTCCACGTCAGGGCGCTCTGATTTTAGCACATCATTCAGAGACTGAGTTTGGAGACTGCTCTGGGTGACTGAAAAGTTGACCAAGGTAGTACGACTGCAAATATCCGGAGGGAAGGTTGCAGAGGGATCGCGTGTGGACAGATACAATTTGAATGATGGGGAGAAATCGATCTCCTGCTTGCCGAGCTGGATGAGCACACGGCCACCAGTGCGTTGGTACTCCTTGTTGAGCACGTGGTTCAGGATGGGATCGAGATGCTCGGCATCCTGGATGAGAATGGGGTTGCCGAAACGAAGCGAGCTCTCCAACTGTTTGGTGAAAGTATCATCCAAAAAGCTTGTGACTGTCAAGCGACGGTCCTGGCATTCCTTTTGCAAGAACTCCAGAGTGCGACCCGGCGGATCAATGATGAGAGGGTATCGCTCGAAGCGCTTGAGCATGATCGCATTCTCCGTGCACAGGTCGTCCACTGGCAGTCCGTTTGCTTGCCACCCAAGACGCTCATCGGCTGTTGACAAGTACTCGGTGACAGGGTTGTGAGACTTGTACTGGATGCCAGAAAGGTGAAGTTGATGGAACCAATCTTCGACCATAGACTTTCGAAGAGTTTGGTCGTACAGACCACTGTAGGCCAGGAATGCAGCGGCGATCAGAACATCGCCGACCAAGGTGCTGATCTGCGTCTCGAAAGACTTGCTGCCATCCTCCCAACGTGTCCTTTCTGAAGACAGGCTGTCGAGCAGCCTGACACTGCGATCGACCTTGAACTGCACCTTGGACATTTCAGACTTGATCGCCTGCGTCTGGCTGATAAGCGCGGCATACTCCTCTTTGTACGTGTTGATGCTCGCTTCGAGTTCGATAATGTTGTTCTCCACAGCCTTGGCCTCTGCTTTGGTCTTCAGGGCCTCTTCCTCGAGCTTATCGACTTCCTCCCTGAGTGGACCGACGCGATCCAAGATGTCCGAGTACTCGACCTGCGCAGTGACCCATTGTACGAGAGGACCACAGGCTCTCGACGCACGGTTCACCTTTTCGAAGGTGAACTCTGGGTTGTTGAGGAAGTCTCTGCGCATTCTTTCGCGGAATGACTTGGCCATCTTGTCGCTGTTGTAGTTCAGGATGTTGGCGATGAAATTGTCCTTGCGGATCTCTCCCTGCACAGTCTTCCAGTCTTGCACGCTCTTGTTCGTCAGCAGAGTGATGACACCCTCCATGGCCAGCTTGACACCGGCAGGCGGATTGCCCATCGCCCTGACTTCGGTCAAGTGTTGACGCTTGATGTTTTGCACACTGGCCTTGGCTTCTTCGACAGCGGGCTCAGCCTTGGCCAAGTCCTCGAGCACAACTTTCCTGCGCGAAGCAACCTCGGTTTCCTGTTTCTCCAAGTGCACCTGGATCTCCTCCGATGCCTTCTTCCTCGATTCGGCCTCGCGCTGATCTGCCACCATCTTCTGTAACTTCTCGTTCGCCTCGGCTTCCTTGGTTTCTAGTTGTGTCTTCTTCACTGCCAGACTCTCTCGCAGATCTCGTACCTTGTCGAAGGTATCCCGGAGCTTTTCCAGACCAATGTTCAAGTGACGCTGTTGCTCTTCCAGGTCCTCGCGCTTCTCATTGTACAGTCTGACATACTGGCCTACAAAATCCAAGAAGTGGCGAGGCGTAAGGAACGTGACCTTGCCTTGCTGCTTGAACAGCTTTTGGTTGTAGTGGTGAAGAGAGTAATGGATGTGGACCATCGAGTTGACAATAGCCTCGCGATGCGATGGAGGCAATTGCAGACCACGGTAGGCGACAGGAATTGTATCGGGAGCTTGGTAGTTGGGCCGATCCAAGTCGATAGAGTGCGTGAGCTCGTGACCGACCTGGAACAGGGCTTGATCCGACCAGTCTCCAAACCAGTTGAGGACACACCTATTGAACAAGGCCGGCGACGTCGCAGCCTTGGACGACAGGCCATCCTGAGGAGGATTCATTGTGAAAACGACGTGCAAGTTCTTCACAATTTGCTGAGTGAACCACTTGTACAACTCCTCTTGGGAGTCCAGGTGCAAGTTTTGGCGTTGGGCCCCCTCCTTGCAGGCAGTCATAAGCGCCGCATGGTCGTCGCCTTCGAATAGACCTGGGACTTCAGCGTTTGCCAGGAGGGTATTCATCCTCTCCAAGAACCCAGAGTCGAGGACATTGGCCTCGTCCATGATGAAGCAGATCTTCTCACCCTTGCAGCCACAACGGCGCAAGACGTCTCGAAGGTCGTCATCAAAGTCCTCGGCCGTATACTTACCGTGAACTTTGATCTGGAAGACGCGAAGTCCGTTCATCCAAGCAACAAAGCGCGACAATGTCGTCTTGCCACTGCCACTCACACCAATCAAGATCAAATGACCCTGTGGTTGTCTGAAGACACGATCAATGCGAAGGACATGCTCCAAGACATCGTCAAACAAGATGAGAGGAACGTCAACTTCTTCCTCACAGAAGGTCCTCAAGCGAGCTTTGACGAAGTCTCTCAATTGCTCGCGATCCACAGGCACGTAGTTCTTTGACAGCCAATTGGAGAATAGGATAGGGCCTGACAATGCCTTCTCTTCATCAATAGTAGGGAAGTGTTGAAGAGCAATGCGATGAACAGCGTCGTCAGTCCACTTGCGCTCATCTTCAGCTATAAGACGATCCTGGAAGA